CAAAATAGTTGTATGCTCCCGTTTGCCAACATGGGCTGAATAAACAGGGGAAAGTGCGCTCAATACCTATGGCCATCATATTACCCCAGCATTCCGGGTACTTATAATTTAAAGCCAGTTGTCCCTCCATAGGGGAATTGTTTCAGGAAGCCCTGTGGATACAAAGCACTGAGGATGCTTTGGTCCCTTATGTAACAGGGCACAGTGTTTGCATCGAACTCACACATACCCTCTAGTGCACTTTAAATCATGTCTGGAGGACTTAGAATGCCTAATGTAATGTGATACTATATAAACTGTTATTACACTGAATTGTTTAGAGAGTAATGACAAGAAAAATATCTGTACATGTTTAGTCCAAACCATTTTCTTCTTCAAATACCTTCCATCCTTGGTTGGTTGAGTTTGTGGGTATGGAACCCACACATTGAGACAGCAGACTGTATTTTGCCATGTGGTCAGACTGGGGGACCCATGTAAGCTTCAGAGACCACACTAGCTTTGTCAAGTCCAGTTTGAGGGGTGTGAACGGTTTACACACTTCCGTCCCTCTCTTCACCCAATCTTGATAGCGCTATACACTCTTTTCTTTGTCTTTTAATTTTACTTGTTGTCTCCCAAATTTGGGAAATAATGTTTCACATTGTTTACCAGCATCAAAATGTAATGCTTTCTGTAGGGAAAAAGAATCAGTATTTTTTCCAGGACCAGATCTGAAAGTAAGTAATAGTAATAAAACCACCAAACTGTAAGATGTCCATTCCCTAAAATATATAGCTTAATTAGAGCTGGAGATTCAAGTGACTCACAAACCATGCAGCTGGTAACCCTGCTTCAAGCTAATTGAATTAAAAAAAAAACAAAAACAACTTGAAACCTCCTGGTCGCTCCAAGAAGCAAACTTTGTGTACTTCCTCTCCCGAGAGCTGGAGGCTCGCTTGGCCACACAAGACATATAAAAAGCCCATTTGGAGAATCACTTGTTTCCCACGTGGCTCTTAAGTCAGCGTAATTTAAGAAACACACAACTCCCGCACCCAGCTCTGGAAGTCACAATTGGCGCACACTTGGGAGGATGGACAGAGGACGGAGGAGTGGCTTCTCTGGATGTTTCAGCCCTGGAACTGGCTTCTAAAGATTCAAAATACGTTGCGCACAAAAAGTGTTCATAGATGCATTCAGGGCAAAAGGCAGGCCATAAAATCCAGAGAACAGACCAGGACCCCAAATGCTGCTAGGGGCTGAAGAAGGGAGTCCGAGGAGGCAGACAAAATGGTAGTAGCGTTTATCTCTGGACGGTTGGCTCAGGGACTTGATGTTTTTTCTTTATCATTCTCTGGATGTCCCAAGTGCTCTGTGATAGCAAACGATGGCATTTCTGTTTTCATTCTGGAGCAGGATATTTTTGCTGGCTTGTTTGTTAAACAGAAGATATGACCTTGACCTCCCCTGAGTGTCCCCTGGGCTGGGTCATTTGCTGATTTCATGAGCAGACTCAGGCTTTGCTTGTAGCTTGACCAGCAACTGTGAGGGAGTTCAGTGTGAAAACCAGTAGGGGTGACTTTTTATAAACCTGGCCTGTTTAATGGCACTCATGTTTGTAACTGACCAGGGCGTTTCTTTTTTTTTTTTTTTTTTTTTTGGGTTTTTCTCCGGTACCGGGAACCGAACTCATGACCTTACGCATGCCAGGCAGGCGATTTTGCCACTGAGCTAAATCCCCAGCCCCAACCAGGGCGTTTCTACACCCACCGGCAGCCAAGGGCCCCTGGCTGTGACGTCTACCGTGACAGGTGCTGCTAGGCACCAATTCAATTAGTTTTCTAGTTTTCATCACTGCTGATAGCTTTTATATTTTTAAATCCCATTCTAATCTTGACTGGGATATTGGAAAGGCCAGCAAAAGTATATTTGGCTTTCTGATTCTCTTGCGGTTCAGTGGCCCATGGTCTGGACGTGAAGGAGGAGACCCAACGACAAGCTCTGCTAGATCCACCCATGCCTGCTGTCCCTCTGCTCCTTCCTGCCTGCAAAGTGGGCCAAAGCCTGGGGGTGTTCTGCTGCTCCGTCAGAAGCAGGACTTGCATTCGCTGATGTGGCCACAGGTGGTGGCTTCTCAGAACTGGAAGGATCCGTTTCCTAAGGTGAAGTCAGCTGTATCTCTCTCCAAAAAGAAAAGTGCTTTTCTGGCTTGGAGCTGTGGCCTGTGGACCTCTAGAATTGCAGGGACTCAGAGCTGCCTGGACACACACTTGACAAAGCACCCTCTAACTCTTCAGCTCCAGCCTCTGAAGCCTTACCAGGGCAAGGAGAATCTGGGACACGGCCCACGCTCACCGCAGGTCTACTCACTGCTTTATTCATCCCTGCCACCAAGGCCTCCAGCCCAGCAAGGCTCCGTGGACAGTGCGCATGCTTGGGAAGAAGCAAGATGGCAAACAAACCAATATAGCTGTAGCAACTCCCACCAGTAGGAGACCAGAAAGAAAAACAAAGCCGGGCGGTGGAAACGCAGATGTCCTTTTGGCGAGGGTGGTCACATAAGGCATCGTGTCCCATGATAGACAACCTGATAGAGGTGAGACAGTGAGACACTCGAAAGGAAAAGATAACAGGCAGTAGAAATAAATTCCCGAGGCCTTGAAGCAGAAATCAAATAATAGCAAGACACCATGCAATGTGCTGGGCACTGTTTCCAGTCTTGATAGATTTTACTTATTTAATCCTCGCGGTAACCCTGAGAAATAGGGACTATTTTTATCTCCCTTATGTGAAGGAAGAAACTGTAAGCCAGAGAGGCCGAGTCATTTGCCCAGGCCACTCAACATGACAACCATCATCTGCTACTCTATGGGTCCAAATCCTAGACTTCAGGGTAACCAACATCCACTCCTTCCTCACAGGAATGTATTTCAGCCTGGGAAGTCCAGTATCATCCTTTTATATTAACATCTCCTTTGGGGTAGGCAATAGGATCAATCTTGTTTTGCCGTAATTCCACATATCCGGTTGACAACTGATGAACTTTAAGTCAATTATTAAACCCGCTAAAACCTCTCCGTTGTGTGTGACGATTGGATGGATAACCAGCTGCACGCTGAGGAAGATTAAACCTTGGAATTTACTGAAATTTCAGCTTTTTATTTGTCTTTTTAAAAATCAGTTTTATTGTGATATAATTCATATGCTGTAGACCTGACACATTTAGAGTGCGAGCCAGTGGTTTTTAGTATAGTTGCAAAGTTGTTTGTCCTTTACCAACTCAACTTCACAGTATTCTCAGCACTACACAGACTTCATACTTGCAAGCGGTCACTTCCCTCCCCAACATAGGGAATCATGAATCTACTTTACCCCCAGGCATTTGTTAGTTCTAGACACTGCATATAAATGAAATCATACAATATTTATTCTTTTGTGTCTGGCTTCTTTCTCTTATCATAATGCTGTTGTAGTATGTATCAGTGCCTCATTCCTTTTAATTGCCAAATAATATTCCACTGTAGGAATATACCACATTGTATGCTTTCATTCATCTGCTCATGGTTGTGTTCACTTTTATGAATGATGTGACCATGAGTGCTCTTGCAGAAGCCTCTGTGTGGACAAATGTTCTCATTTCTCTTGGGTACATCCCCACGGTAGAACTGCTGGGTCCCAGGATGGTAACTAACTCCGTGTTTAAGCAACTAAGGAATGAAATACAGCTCTATTATTCTGATCTTCCTCCAAGAATTACATTCCCATCTCACTGGTGCCTTTGACGCCAGCCAGGGAAGGAGGGGTCTTAATTCTCACAAGAGCTGTTGACCTTTCTTTGTCACCTTGTCTACACAATCAGAAACATCTTACACCCCAAAGTGATGAACATGAGGGCCTCTAATCATGTCATTTTATTACCAAACAGTATTGGGGAGGTTGGCAGTATTGTTTTGCTGCTTCTTAAAGTCCACACACACACACACACACACACACACACACACACACACACACACAGCACACCACACCACACAACACCACAGTTAGGCATTCATACCCTTGGAATTAGCCACATGGCTTATCCTTGGTGAGAGGCGCCAATAGATGTAAGTGGGCTTCTGCCTCCATAAGCAAAGCCCAAGGAGCTTTGCTGCCACTTCTCAAGGCCAAGGCCAATCTGCTTTTGTCCATCACCGCCTGCTGCAAGGTCCACGAGACAGTCAAGGACACTGTGCCTTAGGTGATCCAGAGAGCGGCCTGCAGCTCTCAGTTCCTGAACGTGGCGCAGGTTACCAGAGCCCAGAGAGGCCAGCACGGGCTGGGCGGGACTTGCCTCCTCCCAGCCCCCACCAGGGGCCCTGGGAACATGCGCGTCTGTCCACAGGGAGCAAGGCCGGGGCCCTGGGAGGAGGAAGTGGGCTGGGCCTGGCCAGGTGCTCGCCCTCTCCTCTCCAGAGTCAGGCAGGCTTGGATGACGGCAGGCTTCCAGGTGGGAAGTGCAACATCTTGGCGTCTTACGGGCCTGTCCAGAGATCCAGATGTTTGGTGTCAACAGCCCCGAACCTGGGTGATTGAATCTGACACTTTTTTATAGAGTGTAGTCACAGCTGTCCAAAGGAAACTCATCTGCATTCCTTCCTTCCCTCCTGGCTCGAGTGCTCAGAGTTCCGATTCCAGGCAACATCTGGCAGCTCATTCTTCCACTCTTACGCTGGGAAAAGCCCAAGAGTCCCCCCAAGCCCATAGGAAGGGGGGCACCAGGGCCCTAGCCAATTTTAGGGAAGGGTGGGAGGGGGTGTGGACAAAGTCAGTTCTATGGAAGAAGGGGGATTCTTCACTGGATGGGGTTCATTCAGACAATTTTTGTGGTCACTCTCTAGTCTATGCTTCTCAGACCCTAGCACAAAGTGGACACTCCTCCCCCAGAGGCTAGGGACACCACCTCAGGAGACCTCAGGGGGGTAAAGGATAAGGGAAGGGAATGGGCCTTTTGTTCATCCTAGTCATTCTCCTCCCAACAGCCTGCATTCCTGGGGTCCCCAGCCTCGCCCCACAGGAAGATTGCCTGCCGTTCCCAGAAAACAGCACACAGTCTGGACCTCTGCAGCTCTCCTCTCCTTCCAAGGCTGCCTGGCAATCTTCATCACATTTCCTGGCTCTGCTCCAGCATCCCTTCCTCCTCACAGCCTTCCTCACACCCGCAAGAAGGCAGCTGCCCTGCGTGCTGCAAGCCGCCTGGCTGGGGCATGCTTCCATGGTGGCGTTTATCAGCCAGCTTTCTCCTTGTGGACAAGGCTGGCCACTCATCGAAAGCCCAGTCCTGACAGCCGTGGCTGTGTTCCCAGCAGGGCCCTGTGGGGACCAAGTTTGCAATCCCCCATGCTACACAGGCACTGGGTAAAAGGCAATTACCTTGGGGCTTGATGATGATTTCAAATCCACGCCCCAGAACTTCATTTAGCTTGCTAAAATGAAAGAGAGCTCAGGGTGATCCTCAGTGGTCCCCTTAGCCCTGCATGCCTGCACCTTAGTCCTCCCTAGGTAAACACAGACTGATTCTTGGGAACTCTAAGTAATGTCCTTAAACGTCCTCCTGCTGCTGCAGTTTGGATCTGGAGTGCTCTCCAAAGACCTGGCTCTGAAGGCATGTTCACCAGCTTGTGGTGCTATTGGGAGGTGGTCAAACCCTTAGGGGGTGGGGCCTAGAGGGAGTAGGTTAGGTCATTGGGGGCATGGCCTTGAAAAGAATATTGGGACCCTGAGTTTCTTCTCTGTCTTTTGCTGCCTGGCTTCCATGAGGTGAAAAAGCCTCTACTATCATGTGCTCCCATCACCATGGGCTGCCTCAGGCCCAAAGCTACAGGGCTAAACAACCAGACAACCATAGACTGAACTGTGAGCTGAAATAAACCTTTTCCTTCATTTACTTGATTTTGTCAGATCAAGTCACTTCCTTCCCCAACATAGGAAATGATGGATCTATCTTGTTTTGCTGTACAGTGACAGAAAACTGATGGATCTATCTTGTTTTGCCATACAGTGACAGAAAACTGATCAGCACATCTACTTTCCAGGAAACTGAAATGGGCGTCTACAGCCACATGTGGCAGCATGACTGTCCCCAGCCTCTTTCTTCACAATCCAGAGAGTTACATGTTTTCACTTTCCTGTCAGTTTCTGGTCATACCAGCCCATATAATGGGATCAAGTTTATTTTAGCTAAGAAACATAAATAGCTGGGCATGGTGATAAATAACTATAGTCCTAGCACTCTGGGAAGCTGAGGCAGGAGAACTGCAAGTTCAAGCCCAGCCTGAGCAATTTAGTGACTTGGTGAGACCCCTTTTCAAATCCCTAAGCCCCAGTACCTCAGAATTTGATGATGTTGGGAGACTGGCCTTAAAGGAGGTAATGAAGTCAAAATAGGGCCATTAGAATTGGTCTGCCTGACTGGGTTCCTCCTGAGAAGAGATCAGGATGTAGACACACCCAGAAGAAGGACCATACGGAGACACAGGTAGGAAGCAGCTGTCTGCAAACCAAGGAGAGAGACCTCAGAAGAAACCAACTTTGCCCACACCTTGATTTTACATTTCCAGCTTCTAGAATTATGAGAAAACAGATCTTTGTTGTTCAAGCTGTCCCGGCTATGGCATTTTGTTCCAGCAGCTCTATCCAGCTGATACCCCAGCCTTTAGGTCTGGGAAGTAGGCGTGTCACTGCCCAAGTGCCATCTTGTCCTCTTCATCTGACCCTTCTGGAAGTTAACTCCAGGAAGGAGCCTCACAGATCGCTCCTCTCTTGATCCAGGGTGGTTGGTGGCATCACCCCCCATGAACTGCTGCCACCGCTAAGCAGAGGACTTCCGGGGAAAGGGGCTGCAGCAGGTCCGTCATGGGCAGTGTGATCCCAGAGGGCAGGATTCTCAATCCTAGCTGCACAGAAGAATCCTGAAACTCAGAGACATGCTGTCCTCCCAGACGAGTCCAAGCACAACAAGCAAGGGGTACTGGCCACGCACACAGATGTATTTGCTTTGTAACTTTTACTGGGGGGCTCTGATTGCCGCAGAGCTGCAGCGCCTCGTGGGTACCTGCAGGCTGCTGTTGTGGTCTCCCTGCCTCAGCCCCTCTTGCGCTACTTGAATGTTTGTGCTATTTGAATTTGCTCAATGTGCCAGCTGCTCAGCTTCCCCCTATGCTGTTGCTAAATCCTCATTTGGCAATCAAGACTGACAACACGACTTTTCCATAGAAACCCTCTGCGGCTTTCTTCTCCATGTAGAAGTTGTGTGCCCTCTCTGTTGCCATAACAGATTTCCCCAGGTACAGCGAGCATGGGCTCCAGTCCCTCCCACCACCACACCTGCTGGCTTCCCCACACCCACTCTGGGAAGGCGAGAGCCAAGACCAAAGAGCCTGCCCAGGCTCCAGTTTCCCCCAACACAAATTCGGGTGAAGCCGGGAGAGTGGAGCCTACCCACAGGGGCAGGGCTGTGTGGGGAGCAGGCAGGCCAGGGTTTAATGTTTAGCCCTGCGCCTGACCTGTGGTCTGGTTGGGGTCAAGCGGCCTCAGATCAGTGTGCCTCGGCTTACTCCTCAGCCAAGTGGGACCAGGCACACCCAGCCCCTCGTGGTGGGTACGTGAGGAGTGCTATGCATCCGGGGCAACAGTAAGAAGCACGAGGATGTCTTGATCGCTTTTCTTTTTGTCCTCCTGTCTCAATCTGGGATCCCCATCCTTGCCCTCACTGGAGGAGGTTCCAGTTTGCTAGGGAGGCGTCACTCACTCCAGGGATCTCCCCTGGCAGTTCCCCACCAACTTCTGGAATCTCCCTCTCCTGCTTTTCCTGCTGAGAATCTCCAGAGCCATTTCTGCCAGGCTCCACAGCCCCACAGTGAGCCCTCGGGGAGGGAGGAAGGCAAGGCCCTGGGGCAGGGAGGCTGTTCCAGCCAGCTCTGGGCCCTGCAGCACCCCCTGCAGCAGCTCTGGCGTCCGAAGGAGGGGCCGCATACTGCATGCCCTGCAGCTTCTTAGGGAAAACAGATTCTTCCGAGCCTGAGATCCCACCAGCACCTTTGAGGGGATGACAGAAGCCATCTTTCTGGGCAGTAGCTGCCCCTCGGTACAGAGTGGCAAGTGGGTCATGGGCTGGCTTTCGGGTCCAGTCTCCCTCCTGGCCAGGCACCTTTGACATGACAGAACAGAACGGCCATTTGATCATCACCCAAAGAAACCATTTTTAGAAGGGGAATGCAGCTCACTCCAAAGCCTGGGAAGTACAACAGCAGGGCACTGGCATCAGGCGAAGAGCTCTTCATTGCCTCAAGACATGGTGGAGGGCATCTCGCAGCAAGGCAGCACACGCATATTACCTAGGCTCACTGCTCCTCTTCCTCCTGCCCTCCTCCTCCTGTCCCTCCTCTTCCTCTTCCTTTTCCCCTTCCTGCTCTTCCTCTCTACTTCTCCTCCCTTCCTTCTCCTCCTCCTCCTTCTCTTTCGTCCTGCTTTCCTCTTTTTTTCCTCCTCCTCCTTCTTTCTTTTCTTCCACTAATGTCATCATAGGGAACCCACCCTCATGACCTCATCTCATCCCGCTCTCTCAGGAATAGTTAGAAAAACTAGACCAAAACCGCAAGGAGGTGAGCTGAATAACACCATCAGCCATGCTGATCTAATTGACATTTTTAGCATGATAGCCCAAAATGGAGGAAACGCTATTCATTCCTTTAAAGCTCACATAGTTCACTCGTCAAGATAGATTACATGCTAGGTCATAAAATGAAACTAAATAAACTTAGAAAGATTGAAATTACACACAGTGTTTCCTAGCAGGTATGGTGGTGCACACCTGTAATCCCAGAACTCTGGGTGGCTGAGGCAGGAGGAGGATCACAAGTTTGAGCCCAGGTTTGGCAGCTTAGCGGACCCTTGTCTTAAAAATTTGAAAGTACTTAAGATTTAGCTCAGTGTGAAAGGTTTGCATTTAATCCTTAGTACTGAAGAAAAGGAGGGAAGAAAGAAGGGAGAAAGTTCCTGACCACTATGGAGCCAAATTAGAAATCAATAAGAATAAGATAGCTAGGGAAAAAAATCACATACTTTGAAGAAATCTATGGGTCAAAGAGTAAATCACAATGAAGTTTTTAAGATATTTCAAACTAAATGATAAAATTTAGTCATAGTTTATCCTAATAATACAGTTGCTATTGCAAATTACTAATTTGCTATTAAATAGTAGTAATTATCATTAATTTGATAACATTGCTAATAAAGGATACCATTCCATGACCAAATAGAGTTATCACAGTTTAACACTGGAAAATCAGTTTAATCCAACATACTTAAGAACGAAAGGGGGAAAAAAGGAAAAATTTATCTCAATCAATGCAGAATAAAAGAGTAATGAAAGTGAAAACCTCTCAATGTCAGTGTAGGAGATCGTCCCTAATCTGATAAAGAGCATCTATGAAAAACCTTTTGGTAACATCATACCTAGTAAGGAAAAACTAGATATTTTCCCCTAATCTGAGGAAAAGTCACTTGCTCATTTCATTCATAATTTTTTGGAGAGCTCAGACATTCTAATATGGCTAGAATAAAAGAAAAAATATAGAAATGTCATGCAGGTAACATGGTCATTTATATAGACTATAACTAACTACAAGAAATATATTAGCAAGGTCACAAGGTCAAAGCTTAATGCAAAAATCTGTCACAGCACACAACTGAAAATTGAAATAAAATTAAAATATCATAACAAACCAGGCACAGTGGCACATACCCACAGTCCCAGAACTCTGGGAGGCTGAGGAATTAGAATCATAAGTTCAAGCCCAGTCTGGACAACTTTAAATAAATAAATAAATAAATAAGTACATTTTTTAAAGGACTGAGGATATAGTTGAGTATGAAGGCCCTGGATTCAGTTCTCAGTACTGAACCAGAAAATCATTTCATTTATAATATCACCAGAAAACCCAACATATTTAAGAATAAATTTAACAAAAGACATGTAAGACTCCATACTGAAAACTATTTTTTTAAAGCTAAAGGAATTAAAGGAAAACTAACTAAACAGAGATATATTTCAGGTTCATGAATTCCAAACTTTCTTTTAAAGGTATAGTAACCGTAATCATGTCATTTACCTACCAACAGACAGATTAATGGAACAGAATACAATTCAAAGTAGACACACATTTATCTAGTCAGTTAATTTTTGACAAAGATGCCAAAGCAATCCAACAGGAAAAGAAAATTTTCTCAACAAATAGTGCTAAAACAACTGAATATTGTCAATTTAAAACAAAAAAGGTGGGGGGAGGGAGACTCTCTGAGAAGGTTCTCACATGGCTAACTGGGCCTAAAATTCAAGATGGAGCCTAAAAGCCATTTCCTGGTTGTGGGGGTCACACAAGTACTGTATGTTCCTGGGAAAACCACACACTAAGCACCCTGGTCCTTGCTGAGGACTGCTCCTATCTCAGCTGACAAGATAAAGCCCTAAGGTTTCTCTTAACTGTCCAGACATGACCAGTGAAATCCTACCTACAGTCACAATTCAGTGTCAGCCAATCAAGACTGAGAGTGATTGTGTCCTTCATTTACATAAAATCAGTCCATTCAGACTGAGTACATTTACATTCCTCATTTGCCTAAGTGGACTGGTGTAGGAATCTGAATAGGAACTTTCTCTAGCAAGATGGCCTCACCCTTTGCTCTTTAAAATGAACGCACTTTCCTTTTGTACCATGGGCTGCAACTCTCCAATTTGTACAGTTTTGTCTTCCTCTTTCTTCTTTGTTTTCTCCTTCTGCATTTTTAAATAAACCCATTTTTAAATTCAAGCCTTTCCTTGAATATTTT